TTGTTTATACTCGGATCATCCTAGAATAATATTTTTCAAAATGGAATACACTATTAAGTATTGTAAACAGTTCCGAGAAAATATATTTGTATTACCATCACAAATTAATTTTCTGTTTTCTACGCATTTCTTATAAAATGAGTTCGTTAGGCTCGGATTTACATTTTGCTGAATTGTTATCCGTTACTTTAACATTTGCTGAAATGTAATTCTAAAGTAACATTAAACCAATAATAGTAGTACTTTGTGAATAATATTGATCGAAGTGACAATAATACATCAGGTAAGTCTAAGAGAATTCGGAAAAGCTAGAACTCAATGACCTAAATAAATTAATTGTTTATGCTGTGCTATTGGGGGGGATACAGGCCTAAATACAATAAAGAATAACGTATAAAATTTCCTCAGACCAGTAAATCTATTTTTTATTTGTGACTTTTTAACGATGTTTTCAATAGCAGAGACTACATAGAGTCAAACTATGGGCTAATTAATGAATAATTAATTTGATATGGAAGTAACTGGTAGCGGCCTAACACAAGGTACCAGTCCGGTAATTGTCTGGAGGGACTGAGTAAAATCACACAAAAATCTCCGGATAGTTATTCTCCTGTCCGATATTTGAACCAGGAATCTCCCGAATACGAAGCAGGAGTGCTCCCCCCCCCCCCCATTCGGTCATTACGTTGAGGTCAATAAATAAATTTGTCTGGAGGTGGGCGTGTGTGTGTGTGTGTGTGAACATAAAACTAGTAAATACGTGAGCATGCCTTAAAAATCAGCAATGACTGCGACATCATGCAGACCCATGTAAAATATCACCTGATTTCTTTTACATTTAAACTACTTGGAAACAACAGTGAAGAGTAGACTTCAGGTTCATGGTGAGTTATGGCAAAGAAAAAATACTGAAAATGCTTATTATTCAGTTCGTTAACTATTTTCATCACATCGGCTTTCTAAAATGTTGAAGATCAGTGGACTACATGCAAATAAATAAATGAAAAACTGAAAAAATTCTGCCATTTGTCTGTGTGGGTATGAAAATTAGTCTCTTCAAATACTGGAAGGACATAAATTACGAATGTTCGTACGTCTTTTGTAAATCAATTTTTTTATTATTATTTAGTTTTCTGTCTGACGACAGGTCCATATGAACAGGATCCTTCCATCCTTTTCTCGGACTGGAACCTGTTCATATACGTTCTTGGCAGATGATCCAGAAGTGGTTTGCCATTGCCTTCTTCTGTGTGTGAATGGAGTAATTGTTGGGATGCCACGGAGGAAAACTCCGTGTTGCCTAGACCACGGCCTTGCCCAACACAAGTTATAAATTCGGGCACCGCCGGGAATCGAACCCGAGACCCCAGGAAACGTGTTTGAGCAGCCTACATGCACGACAAACACTGTAACACATGGCAGAAATTGGGTTTGCGACTGTCACCCATAGTTAAAAACAGATGCCACTCGTAAATATAGAAGTAATTCCAAAGTATTTTCTTTTACTTTTAAGGCAGGTAGTTAATCATTCGAAAGAGACGTTGTATTGTTTTAAGTTTATGGTACTTGAGCTCAGACCTTGGTTTATGTTAGGTATGTACCAACTTCGATAGACAGAAATTGCGTAACTTTAATTCAGATGAGGACGGCTGAAGCAACGAATTCCAGACATGTGTTCGGTAGCAGATGAATGTTCCTTTATCTTTGACAAGTGATGAAATACCAGCGTCTGGTAATTAATACCACATGGCACGAAGAACAGATACTGCTCTCTTCCAGAACTCTTCAGGGCGATCTCAAGGATCTGCACATGCAACTGGAGAACACTACGGGCATTGTTTGATTACTTACTCCGTCTGTTTTATCTTCTTTACGAATGTTTGTCGGTATAAGAAATAAGGGCATCCCTCTACTTATAAACTGCTTTCATAACTACCTACAAGGAGCAAAATCCGTCAAGAAAAACTAATAGTTACTGAGCTAGTAAAGAAAATTTATTCTTTCATGGTACCCTAAGGTCCATTATCTATACAAGTAAGGATATTTTGTAATCATCGGTAGTGATGAATAGGATTTGTTGACAGAGTGTTCAAACAAATCTCTCCAATGTCTAAAGGCAGCCAGTAAAGAAGAGAAAAGGTTTATGTCGGAAAGACAGGAAAAAAGTAATCTCTGAGGAAATCTTTCCGGAATCTTGCAGCTCTTCACTTCCTAGCTCCTCAGGAGGAGCTCAGTGAAGAGACGTAAGGCGTCTCACCCGGATTAATTGTGTGTCCACTTCGAATCCCTCGACACTACATAGTCTGAGCTACTAAAAACGTCGTTAAACAAACCATAAACAAATAAATAAACTTCAAATACTAGCCACGTCCTGACTAATCTGATTGGCGTTTCCGTGATACAGTTTCAGCAAAATGTCGAATTGTGTCTTTAAATAGGCCACGGTAACTTTTGCCTCTCACTTTTCAATTCATTACGTACAAACACGTTTTAAGATTTTGAGATCACTTTGTTTTTAGGCCATATTTACAAGTTCACTGTGCCTATGTAATAGCTATAAGAATTCGAATTCTCAAATGGAGAACATTTCTAGAGGCGCGTAGTTTAGTCACTGAATTTAACTTGCTCATGAAACATGTTTTCAGATGTTAAACACCTCAGGTTCTCTGTTATGCGACTTATTACACAATGTCCCGGAACCACGTTCATGATATCCTTTGCACTGGACTCTATCGTGAATCCTTCAAATTTAGTCTGCATTCAGAAAACACCTATTTGATTGTATCCTTTAGGTTTTCCGACTAAATTTTTTAAGGAATTTATTATCTCCCCATGCGTACTGCATGTCCCGCCACTATAACCCTCCTTGATTTAATAATCCTTATAATATTTGCGAAGAAAATATATTACGAAGATCGTCATATTTTATATTCCTCTGACTGCTTGTTAACTTTCTCACACTTAGGTCCACGTGACTTCCCCATCACCCAGTTCTGAAACATTTTCGATTTACGTTGTTTTATTGTTTTAAGGTGAGAGACTACGTTTTACGTATCCACACAAATTATTTTTGTTCATTAAATACTTCGGATTTTGTTATGAGATGGGAAGATAAGCAATAGTGAACTGAATATTCACAAGCTTTTTCGTCTTGAGTATAGTCATAATGATGATGACGATAATGCAAATGAAAGGAGAAGATGCACAAAAGTAATAAGTAACGAAAACTCAAGTTTAAATAACAAAGAAGTTTATTTAATGTTGCTTCAAAAATTAAATTGTATGATTACAGGTACTAAAATGCAAATAAAATATTGTCATGTGGAAATGAATATCAACGTAGAGTAATTATGTTGGCTGGTGGGTGTAGAAATGTCTGAATGTCTTGTTTGACATCCTTGTCATTCGGTCACAGCGAGGAAATGTAAAATTCTTTCCTAATAAAATATTCACAGAAATTGAAAAACCTGATTGTGTTCCATCTACTTCGGTTATAACAGCGGATTTTTGTTTGTTTAATTCAGTTTTAAAGACTCTTATTATGGAATACTTTCTATTGGTTTGTAAATGTGACGAGACAGTTGTGAGTCGGGGAAAGAAGGCAAATTCATCCGCAGCTGTGACATACAGAAAAATCAGATCACCTTCCGCCTTACGCATGTGTCAATTCGAAAACGGATAATCCGATTTTAATTGAATTCAATATTGGATATTTTCATGAAAACTGTCGAACCATTTCGATCTACATTTGTATCGGACAATTTTAACGACTGCTATGTGGATTAGCAAAGTAAAGTTTTTCAGCTTATAGCAAGTATATTTGCGAAAAAGTTGCATTAACTGATGTTTTAACTTACTTCGATAAACATGAATAATAAATTGCGTAAATTGATTCTGGATTATTTGGATAAACATTCAGTACAGTATTAATTAATTAAAACTTAACGTTACGATCAAAGATGGCGTCTTTGTGCATTTCAGTTCTATTTTCATCTTCCATTTGGTGACACCTTACGTTTCCCACCATGATAACGAACAAGTGTATTAACTAATTATACAACAGTAGAACACATAATTACCTACCTTAATGCATACTTTGATGAAGGATGTTAAAAGCTTGCTGTTCGCCAGTTGATAATTCATTCTTGCCATAAATGTCACTATTTCATCATCTTCCGGAAGATTAAACGTCTGTAAACTTTGGTCTTGCATCCCGAATAAAGAGCCATAAAATTAGATGCGAATTTTATAAACAGCACAATCAATCATATTCCTCTGTGGAATACACACTTTGTCTTCTGTAAGTAGACACTAGTCGAAAATGCATATATTTCAGTGGTTGAGTAAGAAGAGAGATTTTCAAATACGCGTACACGTCGTTGATCGCTGTTTGATATCCATTAGCCGACAAACCATGTCACTAATGGATAGCTGTTGTTTAATGGAAGTTATATTATAATGAGTACTGTTCACTAACACAATCGATATATAGCCCATTTCTTCTTCTTTGGTTTCGCTGATGTTATCTACGCGTACAAAATTACTTTCTCATCAAGTACATGTCCTCTTATTGTTATTCAGATAATTACTTCAGTCAACTCTTCGTGTAATTACATGATGCCGCAAATGATACTTGAGATTTAGCAAACTCATTCAAGATCCTATGTGAATAGTTTAATTCACGTTAACAGAAATGCAAGGAAAGTTTACTTTATACTACACAGCACAAGTACGAACGCTCTTGGTGTCAATTTGTTTCTTTAACGCAAACAGATGTTTCCGGCGTAACATTGTCACAGAACACCATTAAACGAGTATGTTTGTAGGTTACATTAAGTGGGTAATGTCACAGATATATGAGCACTTTTTTGTCGCAAGTGTTTGAGCACCGTAGTTACTTAAAATGACTGAAGGTACAAAGTTCATTGGTTTCCATTATATGAGCAACGGAAGGTACCAGAATTTTGCACAGCAGTGGGTGTGCAGGTGGAGGAGAAAGGTAAGAAAAGTGTAGACGTCATTGACCTTTGTTAAAAAAGTTGATTTGTTCAATCGTGAGCACCAGGTAATTGTAAGAATGAAATCAGAGGTCACAAGTCACTGTTGGGGAATATGGGTCGAACAACAAACCAACACGAAACTGTACGTCACCGATGATTAGTTTCCATATACACTGCTGGTTTCACAAATTATCTGTGAACACCGTAGTTTCTAGTGTACGTTCATATCACCGACGTCGAAATGGTAGCGATGTTGGTTTCCCTTGTGTCTCACAAGATGTCTCTGTTGCTGCTCCCGTTCACGCGAGTCGTCTTGCTGGCGTTCAGAAGCGCGCTCTTGTTGTCATTTTCACAACACTCGTTGTTGGGTCCACGTCCGTTCGCTTGGGCCTGCTGCAAGGTGGAGGTTCGGTGATACCGGGGGCCGGTCTGAGCATTCGGCGCGCTTCCGCAGTTGATGACTTTCCTGAACGCTTTGCGGAAGTGATCCGAAAGAAAGGCGTACAGAATTGGATTAACGCAGGAATTCATGTATGCCAACACGTGACTCACGATCTGTATCATAACACTTATGTTGGTGATCTCGTACTTGTCGGCACTCTTCAGTACCAGGATCAGCTGTAAACACACAACGTCGCAAGTTTTAAATTAGGCTACGAAATCACGACCACGTAGAGCAGATTTGTCTTCAAAAGCCGACAAAAGCTCAACTGGTCAAGGGATTCCCCGACTTTTACGAAACCCGAAGTTCGTATCATATTCACAAGGTCCGTGGCTGGACTCAGTCTGAATCCTGACACACCAACGCCACTTCTGCAAGGTTCAGATTAATATTATACTATTTTCGCCGAGGTTGCAGGTTTTCCAAGAAAATTTATGTAGTTCGCGTTGCCTAGAGTCCCACATGGTAAACTGCAAATTCGTATCGTACTTTATTTGAACAGGCTTGAATAAGATGTTTACAATGTGATTATATAGCAACGTGTTCCTGAATTCTGCTTCTCTGACAGTCGATTGGAACGCTTTAGCACCATAATAACAAACTATAGCCTTTGTTTACTCTGTCGTACTGCCAGTAATATAAAAACGAGACTGTATATTGAGTGTTTTATCACGCAGCTCACAAACAGCCTCAGCATTCGGTTCTGAGAGACTGTTTGCTATGAATGCAAACAGAGTACGTTGTTCAAGCCCACCACGTTTTTAATATATTTACGGCATGTTTTGGCTGTTAGGAATCTTCATAACCAATAGCCATAGACCAATAGTGGTTTGCTAAACAAGACGTTTCATCTCGTGTAAATTATCCACCCGTTCCATAAACTCCAGCCTACTTTATTTCTTCATTGTTTGTGGAAAGTTGGGCCCAGACCAGTCGTAGTTTTAATCTGGAGTTCCACACCCTGAATTTTCCGCTGACGTTAAAAGTGTGTTGTGGTTAGTGGCACTGAAATACATTACTCCAGGAGCACACTTATTGCGTGTGAACAGAAGAGATTTGTGCGGGCAAAGTTCAATATACAAACCGTCTCGACGGTTGTTTAAAACAATTCTTCTACACGACTGTGAAATACGATCTCTTAATTTGAGGTAAAAGCATCAGTTATAAATGTCCGAAAACAAAGTGTTCAAGAAAGTATGTTAAACTACGAAGCATGAAATAAACCAGTAGTTATAATACTAGTAGAAATGACCCGTTGAAATT